AGTGGGTCGGAAGAACACAGAAAGGTAGAACCAAGTGGCAAGGGGATCATATGAACCTCCAGGCTAAAATGAGCTGTTAAATCACCTTGTTTTTTTCATGAAATCTATTGTGATATAAAATCACAAAGATGATGTAAATGTCAAAAAGGTAAAATAAAAAATTTTGGCAGTGCCTGAACTGTCATTTTGTTTCAGCATAAAGTAATGTCTTGCATAAAGGAAGTTTTTATAGTTTAAGAGTAATGTAAAGTCCATGGAAATCAGTTACACTGATTTTTGAGGCTTCCACAGAAGAAAAGTTTATGTATTAAAAATCTACACTAACTTAGGAATAACACTTGCATTGAACTCAGAAAGGATAAGCTTTGTCACCTAATGACTTGCCATATGTATTTTTTTAGGATTTTAAATAACTTATGTTGCAATAAGAGCAAAGAAACATGAGTTCTAACCCTGTTTGTGCTGTGCCTTTTCCTTTTGACTTCCATTAAGACACTGGCATCCCAGTTCTGAATGTTTCTGGTGTTCAATGATGCCCAGTGGAAGCAGCTGTGGTGGTTTACTTTCCCCATCTTCTGGAAAGCAGGGTTTTAGAATTGAAGTGGTGGTGACTTAGCTGTCTTAATTCTCATTCCACCATCTTGGCTTCAGTCACTTTTTTTCTAAAAATGATGGTAGCTGGGAATATTTTCCACCTCTACAGGACTGAAAACTTCTGAATATGAGTAAACATCCAGTAATATTTCAACTAAAGCCACCAACTTCATGAACCCTCCTAAAGAAGAGAAAGCAGCAGTAGGGTCATGCACAACAAATGAGTAAAACAAGATCCATGGGATTAAAACAAGGACAGAAAGCAAAAGACATGAAATAGATGCATTGTCAGATAGGAAGAAACTGAAATGCTTCAATGTCTAGGAGCCACTTTCTTATTTTTCTTTAAAGGTGAACAATGCTGTTACTGTAACAGCTTCTGGTCGGGTGGTGAAAAAGCGTTTTAACTTGCTGGATGATGACCCAGAACAAGAGGTAACTGATGTAATGAGTAAGAGCCCTTCATGGTTTATTTAAGAGGTTTAGTTAGCCAGAAGTCATTCTTGTTTCAGGTGCAGTGGCTGTGTTACTGTTTTGAGTTCTTTATTGCTCTTCTGTGGCTTTGTCCTCTTAACTTCTAATTACTTAATTTCGCCTCTCTGTCATCTGTCCCAGTACTTCACTGTCACATACTATGTGGAGTGTGAGAGAGCTCTGAACAGAACATGCAAGTATTAATGTGAATGGAATTACCCTAATATACCCATCCCCTCAAAACCAGTAATGGCTTTAAGCAATAATGTTGCTAACAAGTCTGCTTCAAGAGAGGGCATGGAGTTTAAATATGTTTCTTCTGTCACTTTCAAAGTACTTTTTCTTATTTCCTATATGATACATAAAAAATACATTGACACACATTGCACAGTGGGATTCTTCAGAACATCTCTTTTTTTCTATCTTAAGGAATTTTGCAGAAATACATTGGACAGCCTGTGTTGGGAAAGCTGCCTGTTGGGTATCAGGCTGGCAAACCTTTCAGAGCAGAAGACTTAAGAACTAGCATTTTTCCTATTCTGCTTTCACCTGAAATAAAGAGAGCTATGCAACTTAGGCAGAGGGGAATGTGAATTTATAGTTGATTTGTAAACTTGAGGTTTTGTTTTTCCTAAGACATTCAAAATAGTGGACTATGAAGATGAATTGGATTTGTTATCCACTGTGGCAGTTACTCAAATAGGAGCTGATGGAAAAGCACACCTTGACTTTCATTGTAATGAACATGGGATTCTACTTAAGAGTATTCCATTACTGGAGTCCTGGGATGTGGTGAGAAGAATTTCTGTATCTTGTTTATGCTAACACTTCCTCATACCCATTTCCTACCACTTTCAGATTTGAAGCAGATATATAGTGTTGTGCTGTGGATGAGATTTGTACAAAATAATAATACTCACAAATTGCAAGTGTTTCATCAAGCAGGGTAATTTACCTGTAAATTTCCAAAGGTGAACAGCTTACTTTATCTGAAAAATCTCCATCATTTGAAATGAAGGTGTTTTTTTTTTCTTCTTCTTTTCTTGGTTGACTCATTTGGTTTTTAGGTTGGGAAAGGGGTTGTCCTTAGGTATTTCTGAAGTATTTATCAACTTAAATACCACCCTCTGGCTAGTTACATCACCTTAACTTTATAACCTGTAAGTAGTCTCACTAGCTTGACTTCAGCTACTCATGTATAGAATTAAACATGGACCTCACCATGTGTATTTTTGGAGAAATGGAATGCACTGTTTACATTCAAATTTATGTGGACGTCCAGCTTTGATGGTCTGTGACACCTTTGGCACCTTTTATCTTTGACTACATAGGCAGCTTAAGATCCTAACTCAGATGCTCTGACTTGTACTTAAGATTCCTAAAATAGGCATGTTGGAAACCTCACAAAATTTAAAAATTCTGTCCTTTACCTGGAAGAACAGTCTGTGTGTAGCCACACAAAATGCTTGTCTGATCATGGACGTCACCAATGTTAAATACTTTTTGTTCCCTGAGGCAAATGATACAGGTCTTAGCAACTTGTGCAAATGGAGACTGCAATTGGAATGTTTGTTTTTTTTCTTATTTCAGACTTACAGTCATGAAGTTTACTTTGACAAAGACCTTGTGTTACATATAGAACAGAAGCCTAACAGGAAATTCAGTTGTTATGTCTACCAAATGGTCTGTGATAGTGCAAAAGATGATGAATGTTCAAGCCATGAAAAAACAGAAAGAGTGGCCTATAAAAAAGGAGGGAGAATTTTTGAATATACTTAAGACATAAACAACTACAGAGACTTCAATCTGGATGTTATTTAAGGACTTCATACATATTAATTAGTCAACTACTGTTCTTCATGGAGGATTTAAACTTAACATTTTGTACTATTACATCAAGTTTTATTTCTTTTTTTCTCTGTAAATTTGTACACTTGTTTGTAGTCCATAATGGCTTTTCATGTATTCACCAATTCATTCTTAATGCTAGATGCAGCATTTATTGCTTCTCTTCAGCAATTGGAATGAAATACTGGACATAGAGGAGAAAGATGTGGACTTACTGATCATCTGCCATCTGCTGCAGTCTGTCTGATGTAGTTTTACCTATGCAACTTTAATACAGGCTATTAATTGGGCAAAGTAGTTAAAACTGTATAGGATAAATTTTATATGTAGTATGAAAATGGCAATTACCATTAAACCACTTAGATAAAATCCTTCTATTGACTTTTGTGTGGGATATAAAATAACTCAGGTTTTCTGGTTGTGTTTGTTTTGGTTTAAAGAGAAGTATTAATAAATCACATTTTTTTACTGCCTTTTATATCTATCTGTATTTATTTTTATATACATATATATATGAAACCAAGCAGTTATCTTGTTCTCCCTCTAACAAGGGTCAGGAGTTGTTCAGCCTGAGCCAGAGTTATCAGATGCTCAGCCTTATCACCGTGTCCAGCCTGTCTGATGCATGGGAGTTGCATGAGGTATATACAGATTCTGCAGACTTGCAGAATCTGTAAGTTTTCATTTTAAATTAAAAACACAACAGCAAAACATTGGCTTCATGTGATAAAGAGCATTTCCAAATGCAAGCAAGATGTCTCAGGAGATTATGGGCTTCTTCTTGGAAGGATGACCAACATCTGATTTCTCACCAACGACCAGCATTAAAATGAGCATGGTAATTTCAAATCCAAATATTTATTTTCACTGTAAGCTTTACTAATGAAGTGCAGATCATTCTAGCTGATGCAACAGTGAAGAGCTCTAGAAGAATTACAAAAATTATCTGTTCTAAGGTTTTTAGAAAAAGTGTAATGCAAAAGAAAAAGTAAAATACAATTGTGGAAAGTAAAAAAACAACACAAAGGAGATCTAAGAAGGTAATGAAACAGTAGAAATAAAGAATAGCAGCAATTACTTCCACCCTAGTTTCAGTAAGTTTTCACGTAGTATCCATGAAAGAGCACCTGTCTGTATCTGCTACTATCTAAGTAAGATAGGAGGGTAAAAGCCAATATAAATCTATTTCTCAGGCAGAGGATCCAACTCTGAAGCACATACTGGTATTTTATACTCATTTGGTTTGTATTATTAAAGCAGTTCCTTCCAGAGCAAGACATACAAGCTTCATTGTTTATTAAGTAGTCTTAGTACTGCTCATGAAGATCAGATGGAGCTTTCAAGAGTTTGCTATACCTTCCAGTGACTGTTAAGTTATTGCAGACATGACTCTGCTATATAAACAGTTGCACATCAGTATCTGTTGAAAAATGCAGCCTAGACTTTGATGATGATTACAGGGTTTGTGTAAGAAATTCTATCGCTCTAAATACACAGTGTGTTGCTGCACTACAGATAATGGCAGATGATACATCCTGGAAGACCACACATAGACATTTTCATTCAGAAAACAGATGTTTCTGTTTAGTTCAAAACACCTTGCAAACCATTTAAAAATAAAGAATACAGAGTTACTTGCCCTGAATACTTCTATGAGCATATTCACAGCCCTACTTATGAACAGGATGGGACACATCACAGAAGCAGAATTACTAAATGCTCATGGGTTGTGCTTTTTAAGCTGAGAACAGCAGTGTTGCCTTCTGTACCTATGCAGAGCTCCATAAAATTCTAAAATAAATGAAACTGGAGGAAAATCTTGACCACAAACCAGTAGTGTTTACATTGTTAAAAATAACCATATATCTGAACCAAACGCAAAAACCTGCGTGCTTGGTGGCAGCCCACCCAAATCTACAACTTTTTTATTTCAAAGTGAGTTTTTAAATAAATCCCATCCACCAGAAAAAGTAGTACTTTACTTTGCTAGGCGATTTTATATGTAAGCATTTTTTGGTAACTGTTGCTGGAAGGGCTGTGCTATTGTGCAGTATCAAATTGGTATGAAATTTGAATAAATGCATTAGATCTGACCTGTAGACCTACAGTTTGATGTCCATTTATGATGATTCTAGAGCACTTAACCTTTTTCTGTTTCCCAATGTAAATTAGATACTTGGAAATTTCTTACACAATCTGAATAATTCAGTATGCTAAAGAATAACAGTATTTGTAAAGTAGAGAAATTCTGAGGATACTCGTGGTTTCTATTGCAGAGGAAAGAATATTCTTGTGCATATGCCCAGCATAATTATCTCTGCAAGCAACAAAGTGACTTTAGTACAAGAAAGGAGAAATGAAATTTCTTTGAAAAAAATAGAAGTAACTTCTTCAAATGTAGTTTATTTCCCATTTATAAATTCAGAAATTAATATTAATAAAATGTAGAGGACAAAAATACTCTTCACTTTTCATAGGCAGCAGCTAACTGATTTATGATCAGGAAACCTATTTACTTTTAGTTTTCTGTTTTACAAAAGTTGCACTAAGGAACTAATAGTGGAAAATTCTGTGTTCCCCTACTTCCTATGTATTTCAAGGGGTGGTTACCACGCATACCATGGCTTCCAGACTCTGCAGAGAAAGCCTCAAGTAATTAGATCAAATACAGTCTCAAGCAACTGGACCAGGTGCAAACTTTAAAATAATGAAGCTGAAAAGTTCATGTTTTTGTTATTTTCACTAGCCCTAGATGTCCAAAGAAAAAAGAATATATGTATATACATATATATATAAATGTAAATAGATACATAAACTGTTAACATGAATAAAGATTCTCAAATGTGTATTTCAAAAATAGAACTGTAGGGATCTTAGCTGCTTCTGCCAACACATCCAGCTAGGTAACTCAACCCAAATTTTCTGGATTTTGAGTGTGGAGAAATGTTTCTTCATTCTATTTTTTTCTGGATATGTTCTATTACTTTAACAGCAGACTTTACTGCTCATTCGCATTTTGTGTTTTATTTTCCTCTTGTTATTGAGAAAAATACCATTTATGTTACTTAACTGTAACTGAAGACTGCCAAAAACTCATCAGCAAGAAGCTTTTTTCCTTATGGAACTGTGACAGCTATCCCACATGCTGGAACATTTAATGAACAAATCAATTTGCTTCCCAGTTAATTGCTATTAGAAGTACCTGCTAGAAAGGACAACCATAGAGGGTGGCATGCAGACTTGGTGTTTTCTTCAAGAACGGTTGTGAAGAACTGCTGGTAGCTGTTTAAAGCAAAGTGTCTGGGCACTCTGCATGCAATGGGGAAAATATTGGTCTAATAAGTAAAATGGTCATGGACTAGTGAATTCATGGTGGGTTTCACTTAAGGTTGTCTGATACAAGCTTTCCACTCTTGCTAGAAGGTACAAAACCTAAATGACATCAAAGAAATAGAGGAAGAAGCAGTCAGAATGTGTTTTTTTAAGGCTGAACCACAAAGGAACTTATGGAACACTGAGTTCTTTCATAACTGCCAAGTACTGCTACAGTCACCAGTAAAAAAACTTCAAACAACTTTCATTCTGGAAGGTGTGTGAATTGATCTGTCTGTAGCAATGCCTCACTGAAAACAATTGCACAGCATATCTGAACCTTTTTTTTTTCTCCATGAACTGGAGCAATTTAATTAGCCCCTGCTAAAACAAAAGATACAGAAACTTCCTGCAAAAATGTTACTTTTGAAGAATGGATTAATAGTATAGTAATTGTCAACTAGCCCTGTTCTTGCTTGAATAAAATTTCTTTGTACCAACATGAATTCCAAGTGTCTCTCCCAATATGCAGACTGAATAGGTAATGAATACTAATAAAAAGAAACACATATTCCAACATTTAAAATCAATGTTAGAAGTATTTCAGGGAACATTGTTGTTTTGCAGCTATTTCACAATCTTAGATTCTCAGAGAGGACCACTTGAAACTTTCTGGTGGCTAGACTTGGCATGTTTGTAACTGTAACTTTAGTATTTATTTCTGTTTTACTGAGGTTACAAAATTATGATTAAAATAACCTCAGGAGCTACAAAAGAATTTTATGCCAACAGAGTCTAATGTTTATAGATTAAATAAGTTTATAATAGTCAAACTGCTTGCTTTGGATAATAAGATTTTAAAATGAACTGCAAAAATAGGGCGTTGACTATTTAAAGAAAAGGAAATAAGTATCCGAGCAGAATTAAGAGTTACAATGATACAATTGTTAAAAACTGATTGGGTTGGGATAGTTTAACTACTGATGCAGTAAATTGGAAGTACCAATGCCATATTCTTGCCTGAGTGGGGAAGGAATATAGTGTTCTTGGGAGTATTGTATTTTAATGGAAGAGTAAGTGCACACTCTTCTTAAAAAGAGATAAAGAGAGAATGAAAAAGGAAGCTAAAATTCACTCAAGTAAGCACTGGCTTACTTGAGATGCTGCAGAAGCAACATGCTCCACATGATCCATAGGATTGCAGGCTTACCAGCCAGACCCCAGTAACAGCTGCTTGCCAGAAGCCAGATGGGAAAATTATTCTGTTAACATGTTTACTTGGATGCTCCACATTCAGACTCAGACATTGGCAGTTCTACTGATTACCCCCTGGATCTGCAGTTAGCCCCAACTTTGGATGTGTGCATGTGTTTCCTGCCTCTAATACACAACTTGCAGGGTGTTTGTGGCACATTTCTATTTTCTGGGGGAGAGATGTAGGAAACTCCCAACTGTTGACACCAGCCTCTTCCTGTTTTAGCCCTTTATAATGCTACTGCCTCTTCCTAGTGCAGGGAAGCTGGCTTGATTTTATAACTGTCTTATAAGCATTTGTTTTGTGGACTAAAATATATTTCCCACACACACACTTAACCTTGACATCTCAATGATCAGCTGTCTGGACAGAGAAGCAGAAATAGGATCCCAGAAGTGCTACCTCTGTCTTTACTTGTCTCAGATAAATACAGGAGGGATTTACCAATCAGTGACTACGGACTGAAAAGACAGGAAGGACTGGATTCTCTTTATATTTGTTTTGATCATAAAAAGAGCACACATCCTCCTTTCTCTTGTCATTAAGTACATATCCACTGACAAGCCTGCTGAGCAGTGGGGAAGAAAATGAGAAAGCATAAGCACTAACATTTTATAATCTTCCTTTGGCACTTCCAACTACTGCTCCACAGTTCCACCATTTTTAAAAATTGTTACAAAAGACTTTACATTATTAGAAAAATATTTTACAACTCACAGAGGCAAAATGTCTATGAATTGAAGCACAATTG